GGGTGGCTCATAAATCCTACCACTATATTTTGATGTATTTCTTTCTACTTTTTACTTTACAAATTCATATAACTGTAAATCCTGGTACTGAATGTTGTAACAAACTTTTCCCAGTTTTTTAAAAGTCATAATGCACTTTTAAGTTAGAAAATGAGAACACTTAAAATTTACAGCATTGTGATATAAATTCTGCTTGAGCTTTCCTACAAATCAAACTGGTAATCTGTTTTCATGCTAACTGCATGAATCATATCTTCATGTGGCAGAGATTTTAATTTCAAACTCATACGTGGTACAAAACATCACACATCAATGGTTTTGAAGCCTAGATATCAAATCAAATCTGTTATTCTCCCTAGGAATAACCAACCAGTGGAGTGATGGAAATGACATAAAATATCCATAGAGCAAAATATGCAACTGTTTTTATCGTCCAAGTGGATTGGGGCTTTGAAAGGCAAATGTTTTCAGTTATTTAAGGTATTGTAGTGGGAGTCATGCCCAGCACAATTAAGACAGGATTACACTGCAATTTATGAGTTTCTCAAGGATGTCATTTAATATGAAATGTAACAATTATTTCTCCCAAAGCCTGCCATCTACAATCCCACACCCAAACTCTGCTTTGCTAATATAAACTAAATGGCAACACAACAGGCATCTAAGGCTTTTGAGACCTGTTGTAAAAAATGTTCTGCTTTCCGCCATCTCAAGTAATAGTGCCACCTTACATAGAAAAAGAGCATACTGCTTTCTATCTTTCACACACATCACCTCCCGCACATGATCTTCTCAGAGGAAGTGAAGTAGCAAAGACAGGTATTACTTTCTCCATTTTACGTTAGAAATAAGACTCAGATTGCGAGTCTCATGTTGTCCGGTTCAGAAGAATTAAACCCCAGAACATCTTGAGACTAGTCCCGTGGCACTTTCAAACACAGGCATCAATGACAAGTCTTCCCTTTCCTGGACCCCTAAAAAATACTCAACAGGCATAGGGCTGGCACAGCAAAGGAGGAGTGACCTCCTCCCACCACCATGGTATTGCAATTGCAAGGCTTCCAGAAAGAGTAGCAGTTGCTGCTGTGCACCATCACCCAGAAAGGCATCCGGCAGCATCCTGCGAAGACACGCCAAACATGAGTTAAAAGTGATAAGGTGGCCGAATCCACAACATGGTCCTCCTACAAAGCAAAGCTTCCCCTGAATGAAGTTTCCTTGCTTTTCTAAAACGTTGACGAGCAGACCCAACTACCACAGCAGTAACGTCACGCCATCAGCAAACCTGGAAACAGAGGAAGCGAAAACATTTCTGCAGAAAGGAAGCGTCTCTCCCCTGCTCCCCAACCCCTCAGTGGGATCAGAATCATAGCTAGGCAGGGGCACTCTTTTGGGGACGAAAGGCTCTCAAGCGCTCACCTGGAAGGCAGAGCCGCGTTGCACCGCAGAAGGCAGAGGCCGAGCGCATCCTCCTCCTCCTGGTTCTCCTCCCCCCGAGGCAGCCGGCTCCGCAGCGGCCCCCGCCCCACGCCGGCCCGCCGCGCTGGAACCTCCCGCCCGACTTTTGACGTCACGGAGGAGGAGGAGGTTCCACCCGGGCCCGTCCCTTTGTGACGTCACAATGACAACAGAACGCGGCTGGGAGCGTCCGGGAACCGGGCGCAGCAGGGGGCGGGGGAAACAGGGGGAGGACAGCGCTAAGCCAGGGAAGAACCGGGGGCGGGGTGGGGGCGCGCTGACGTCTCGCCGGCTTAACCTGTTGCTCTCGAGACTGCGCTGGAGACGGCGGGCAGGGCCGCGGGGAACTGGCGG